TTCTGTCAATTGTTGATTTTGTGCTGCAACTTGAGTTGCATTTTCAAAGTCTTCGACATATTTTGGCGGGCATAAGATAATGCCCCAGCCCATGTACATTGTTGTCGTGAATCGCTTTTACAACTGTTTTGGGGACAGAGTAATTAATCGCACTGTCCCATGATTGATCTGTAGAATGTCCAGTGTTGTAGAACTCGTACTCGCTCCTCACACTACTCGAGTACTTTTTGGAGTACTCGTACTTGTACTCGTACTCGATTGTCAAAGTATTCGTACTCGAAATGACGGTACTCGTACTCGGGCAGTAAAGTACTCGTACTCGACATGTCGAAATTGTACTCGACCATCAAAGTACTCGTACTCGAATAGCAGTACTCGGAGAAAAAAAATGGTATAGGCTGACTTTCCACGTCCTTATGGTATTATCAATATTTTCAGTTGGAAATGCTTGATTTGCTTGCAGAGATATCAAAGTTTCATGATTTTTCTCTGTGCGTGTCCAGACAAACACATTTAACAGCTAGCCGTGAGTGGGTCTGTATATCGGTCTGACAGGGCCTGGGCAAATTACGCACAATGAAACAATTGCAGTATGGCCGTATTCGGAAATAGAAGTAATTGTACTCGTACTCGGAATTCAAGTACTCGTACTTGTACTCGGAAGCACAAGTACTCGTACTCGGAGACCTGAACTTGTACTCGGAAGTACTCGTACTCGTACTCGTACTCGTACTCGGTAACCTAAGTACTCGGCAGTACTCGGCAGTACTCGGCAGTACTCGGTACTCGGAAAAAAGTACTCGACTACAACACTGGGAATGTCCTACCTGGTCACCGGGATCTCTGTTTGAGTGCCTTTTTGTGCCAAGGTTTTCAGCAGCCACTTCCTATAACCTTCATGATTAGCACTGTAATTTTGCAGGCCCACATTCATCACAATGTGGACAATTTACGTGATCAACGTGCAATGGTGAGACATGCCTGCCGGTCATGGAATATATGCGCCACCGCTGAGGACTTTTGGGTTAAAAGGGCAGGTGGATATCAAGAAAGTGATACACCTGGGTAAAGTATTGAATCCTAAAATAAAAAAAAATAAGATCATCGATTGACAGAAATTTGATCCGAAGTTTGTGGGTCAAAATATTTCATATTAAAGTTCCTCATTCAAACATTGGTAAATTACATGTGTAAGCCCATTCAAAATCGGTTAAATCTTTGACCAACAATTTCCTAACCAAGTACCAGCCCCAGTTACATGAACCATTTGTTTGTATTAACAATTCCCTTATGGGTTGACGGCCTTAAGTCGTTATCAATCATCCTGTCACTATAACTCGCAATTGTTTCTGCATGCTGTATAGCATATTGTTGTTTAAGTGTTAAAACAAACGTCAAAGTTAGAGCGTTGAAACAAAAAAAGGTTGCAGTTTTGAAATTTTGTTCCAATCATCACTTCAGATTTAGACAAAAATTGCACTTTACAATAAGTGATAAGGTCAAAGGCATTGAAAAGGGAAAAACCAAATCCATCGTCGATGGTGAAGCAGTGGGCAATGTCTTTTGCTTCCTGCATCAGGTCAATCATTAATTCCTCGCTGGAAACTGCTGAAGTGCCCAAAGAATACAAGTTGCCATATGTGACACCTTTGCTGAAGAAAGAGAGCCTCGATCCTCAACAGGTGTGCGACTACAGACCAATTTCAACTCTGCCGTTTGTTTCCAAAGTTCTGGAGAGAGTTGTCCTACGCCAATTCACAGTCCCCTGGAGAATAGGCAGTTAGCATACAGACAAGGGCACAGTGTGGGGACTGCTCTTGTCAGAGTCTAAATGATATCCTTCAAGCCATCGACAATCGTCACATGCTGCTTCTGGTCCTTCTTGGGTTATCTTCCGACTTCGGCACGGTAGATCATCAGCTTCTACTGCAGCGTCTTTCTGACAGGCTTGGCATCACTATAGCTCCACAATGTATCCAGTCTTACCTTGAAGGCAGAGCTCAATATCTGACCTGCGGACCCTTGATTGCGGAGTCCCACAGGGCTCATCCTGTTCTGTTCTCAACATACACACTACCATTGGGTGGCATTGCCAGACATCACAGTGTCCAGTTTCACTTCTATGCTGATGACACCTAGCTCTAGGCCTTTTCACCCGGTGATGATACCGCCACATCCTCCAACCAGATGCATGACTGTCTCTACCACTTCCAGGTAAGGATAAGTTGCACTTTTCTACATCTCAACGCCGAAAAAGGGACAGATTCTCGTTCTTGGACCTCGATTTGATCGCTCAAAATTCATCTCACCACATCTCACCATCACCGATCACGAGTTATCAGTCTCATTCTGTGCTTGAAATCTAGGAGTTGTGTTCGACTGTCTGTTAAGTATGGATGCACCTATCTCAAGTTTATGCAGAAGCGCTAATTTTTACCAACGCAACATAAGTAGAATCCGCAAGTACCTGTCACAAGAAACAGCAGAAAAGGTCTTATATGCTTTAGATTCTTCAATTCTGGATTGTTGCAACGCCCTGCTCGTTAGCCTTCCTGCTACATCTATAACTCGTTCGCAACGTGTCCTGAATATGCAGCTCGGGTCGCTGTCCGATGTGGAAATTAAGACCACATTTCACCCATTCTGAGAGAGCTACATTGGTACCTCAGTGAGCTTATTCTTCTCAAGGAAACAGGTCGGGTTCTCAAACCTTCAGGCTCATACTTGTTAGCAGAACCAAAGAACTAAAACAATCCGCTATGGTAAGCGTGCATTCCCCACACTCCGTAAAACAACATCCCTAGATATCATCAAGGGAGAACTGAAATCTCATTTACTTCACTAGCTATTTCACAATTAGACTGGAGACTATTGTTTGTTTGTAGGTGCCTTGATCGGGTTTCCGGATAAGTGCGCTGTATAAATCTTTTTAAATTCTTCTTCTTCTTCTTATTATTATTACATGTATACAGGGTGGTACAAAAAACGGAACGGCATATTTCCACTACCTTGAGACTCAAATCACCTGTACCAATGGATGGAAAATCCTTTTAGAAGATTATGATACCAAAATATCCCGATTCGGTCCAGTAGGTTTTGATGCAGAGACTATTTTGTGAAGCACACTTTTTTTTCATGTGGGTATAATTACATAATGACCCCTCTATCAATTACAATGTAAGTCAAATTCCCGGGCGCGGTTTAGTAATTTATCTGGACAAAAATGACCCCCACCTTGCTTAAAAAAATAGGCTCTATTACAAAAACTACTGGACCGAATCGGGCGATCTTGGTTCTATATTTCTTCTAAAAAAATTGTCCATGCATTGGTATATGTGGTTTGAGTCTCAAGTGAGTGGAAGAATGCCATTCCGGTTTTTTGACCACCCTCTATACTACACCACAAACAGCCTCAAGATCGTCGTTGTTTCGGTGGTTAGGCTAAATACCCAACGTACTACAAAGTTTAGTACTAACACTAAAACATGATAAAATGGTGTGGTTTTTATGTAATGTTTATGCTTCCTTTTTTGATCAAACAACGGCACAGTAGCAATCAACGGTCAAGTACTTCGTTTTCAAAGGATGAGGAAACAAACAAACAGTCCATGTGCAGTTATTGTATTCTTCAGCAAATCTCTCCAAAATCCCCTTTAAAGTGTGTTACGTTATAGAGAAAGTAGCCCCATTCTCGGCTTGTGCCCAACTGTTTCGATTTCCGCACTGCTAAACTTTCTCTTGGAGAACTCTCTTACTTAAATTTAAGTTCCGATTAATGTACGCATCGTGTACTTTGAAAGCGGCAGTTATCGGCCCCATCTCCCCCCTCGTGCCACTTCAACCCTTATGAATTGCACTTGTCTTTTAGGAAAACGATAATGCAACTGAAAAAGATTGAAAAAAGATATCTCAGGCACACAAGTAGTGGTCAGATAGGGAAATGTGTGAAAAAGTACGTAGAGACTGAAGTCGGTGATGAGAAGATTAATTGACGCATATCCAATTCTGAACCATTTGTCAACTGAACGCATAATCTTACCTAATCCAGGAATATATTGAAGCCGGTCATTTCCTGATGCATGGTGATTGTAAATATTTCCTTTTCGTCACTCCTTTTTAGTCAGACCGGATGCATATACTTTCAGTTGGAGACAGCAACGGTATTTTATTCAGCCTCGTGTTTGAATGATAATGATGTCGCAATGGAACTCTTTTATTGTGATGTATGATTGTGCTAAAAAAAGCTAATGGCAACAGATGTCCTGGAAATTAAAAAAATAAATAAACCAGACAGAGTGAGTTGAATAATCCGTCATGTTTGAGTTTATGCAGAACAGCTGGTAAATTGTGACACAAAAATTATCGATTCTTTCAAACACATACAATTTCATTTCTCATAGTAATATATATTGCTTTACATATTGGTTATATTTCGTTGTCTTTATTTGTCAGTCTCAATCACTGTATGAATCGTTGTTTACACAAACGTTTAAGGCGTTCGGGTGAAGCCATAACCCCGTTTTAAGGTCATAAGAGTGTTTCTTTTATTGCTGTTTGTTGCTTTTTCCCACACGATAAGTCTCACTCTGCAGATTTTTCTCCAAACAATACGTTTGATAAACTTGAAACTGGGATTAATCACTGACCATTATAATGAGATGTGCCTATTTCAGTGGGTTGTTGCATAATTGATGATGTACCCAACCGGACGCTACGACACGCACAAGCAAAATATATTCATTTTTATAATAACGACTAATGAAAATCCCAGACTTTGATTACTGAAACAGCCCAGCTGATTTGATGCTCATTCAATATCAATACACAAAAAGTATGTGGTTGATTAGCTGATGAATCCTTTACAACAGACATTGAACCAATTATATTTAACTACTTTTGCTGCATTTGAAAAAAAACACGTCACTATCTAAATATCGTGACATCGCGAATCGTTTAAGACTTCATCATTTTTAACGATATCGCAGGTTTTTCAAGAGTATTTTTGTCCATGTGAGCTTTTTGCGATGTTTTTAAAATAGTTCCGATTGATAAAAGACAGTCTGACTGGCTGACAATTATGCCATGAAGTGCCTTGCCGTGCCGCACTATACAACTTCACGCCCTTTCCCTATACGTTTACTTCCTGCAGTTTTAACTAAATTGCACGGGGTTGATACATATATTATACCAGGCTGTCGTCGGCGGACACTTCGCACTGATAGGGTGAATCACCGTTAACGTCACCACCATCTGCTATATAACCTGCATGAAATGATTAACGTACCGTCCAAAGGCCTCACTGAAAATTATCAAGGAAAACAACATTATTGTTTATAAAGCGCGCAATAACAAGAGAGAATAAACTGGGAATGCATGCATAATGGCAATAGAGTCATGCAGACATGACTATAAAAACATTAAAACTTGGCTTGGTATCGGGAGTAAACCTGAGTGTATCTGAAATTGGTCAAGGTAAACTTAATTACTGGTGGTCGGAAGTATTGGCCGGAAAAAAATATAGAAATATCGACATAGCACGTTTTTCGTTGACTAGATTTGCAGTCAATATATAATTAGAGAAAACAGTCCGTATTTTGACTCATTCACTTTAAAAGAGTGTAAATAAATTATGTATCATTCCCTCTATACAATTTTTTTTACAAGATGCATAAACATAACGATTAGCAATCAACATCCTCTTGAAATAGAACATTTGTATTATTCAAATTCCATGGAAAGACACTTCAATATCGTTTCAGAACGTCGTTGGGCTCGATTGTTAAATCCAATTTAGAATTTACATTAATTAGATTTCAAATTTTAGTCCAGTGTAATTCGCAAATATAGCATTCTCATTCGTCCTAGTTTCGGGAAATTCGTCTCATGTGGTGATTGGCGTTGAACTTGTTTTATCATTCACTTTCGCGCTACGGTCATTCATATTCAGTTCGTGCATAATACACGTTTGAAGGTGAACTTAGAGGGCAAGAAAACATAACGAAGAGATTACAAACATAATTTGACCGTAATGTTTTAGCTTGGCACTAACGAAATTGAATGATCCTGCAGGTATTTAAATGAATGATAAAAAGAACGAAATTATTTTTGCATGGAATTTATAATAATTCAAGTGTTAAAGTTGAAAACCTATATAATGTTAAACAAGTATAAATTATTCTTTCACGAAAGAAATTTTATATTCAGTTCGACTTCTGTCGAGGTTTTCAGATGGTCAAGTCTTTTGAAGCAAAGTAAACTGATCCACCGCGGTTGATGAGGTTTTCTTCCTCTCAGTTACGCGCCAAATTCGTCCACACTTCTTGCTTTGGAAACACGAGGCCGTCCGATTTTCTCGTTTACGTAGACATGACCTTCTGACACCAGAGCTGCCAAGTCCTGATCCTCTTGGCAACAGGTTCCTGAATTCGGAACCGAAGTTCCCCTCTGGAACTTATGCCGTCTGGTATCTGTTGAATGACGTGTTAACGTTGTTGGTGAATGCCGACCGATTATCTGGAGCTCAAACTCATCACGACGGATCGTACTGCTCTGTGGATCTGACCTGCGTGATAATGTCCCAGACCCATCACAAGTTTGTCTGGTGCTACCCGTGTTCTTGCCAGAAAGGGGTCGCAGTTTGATATTGTCCGGCTTAGGCTTTACAGGAGGTTTCTGTTTGAAAGTGCGTTTGTGTTGAGTTTCACCAGCAACTGAAGCTGCCGCTTTGTTCCCAAGTTCTTTACTCCTGAAGGAGAATCGAAGTCGATACGGTACGTGGTTTCCTCGATTTGTTCGCCTTTTCTCTTTCAGTTTGATGACGGAATCGTTCACGTAGCCGTTAGGGGCGTTGTTCAGTTCCTCTATGTTGGTCACAGGGCGGAATAGGAATGGTTCCCAGACCTCATCTGGGCCGGGGGCGGAGCGCCTCCAGATTGGCTCCCGACCTAGAAGCTCGTATGGATCGGAGTACTCGGTTTCGTCACGGTAGCGGGTCACATTCAGGTAGAAGGGCGATGGAGGTGGTGATTCATCAGCTGGAGAGTCCATTGGCAGAGGGGGTGCTGTAGGAAGTGCAGACGGTCTGCCATGGTGTGCATTATGGAGAAGAACTGCTGTACTTGACTCGAAGTTGTCCATGATACCTACTGTAGTACCAACTGAGGGCTGGCAAACTACTTCTTTTGTCGGCTGACCTAAAATGGAAACATGAGATTTATGTCACATTCTTTACTCAACAGTAACATTTTATTACCATTTTAAAGTTTGTCCGTAAATGAAGTCAAATTGTTTTACGGTGACACATGAAGAACAAACCAACCATTTAAGTGCCTAATTATAAGTGCAAACCGTTCAGATCCAAAGTCCAAACATTTTGCACAAATATTGTCGTCTGTAATTATGTTGGAAGCCGAACTGGCTATTTAGCATCGATACGTCTCACACAGTCCATTTATCATCAGAACCTTCTTCAAAGTGAATCAAAATCTATCACAGCATCAAGCAATTTTTACAAGAGCACTTTTTGGCGCATAGTGAGGATGAATAACACGCATCATTCAATTTCTTAATACCGGTACCAATGGATTTCTGTTTGGGGCGTTTTATGCAAATCCGAATGCATCATGAGGCAAACTATATAAAGAAGGTAAAAGGGTTATGCATGATGAGATGCCTAGTGACACATGTAGGATCAGGGTGCTATACATGCCCTTAGTCCCCCAGTTGTCAATCCCAATTCACGTTTTAATGCACAAATCTTCAGCACATGCGAATCCTAGACTGTAAATGCCTTTGTACATGTATAGAAGACTAAACTATTGACTTTACTTCTGATGACTTTACCCGCTTGTGATACTCTCATTTTAGAGCTGTCACAATTACTTAAGTAGCGAAACCCTCAAAGCAACAGAAAATTAATCAACAAGGTCGTTCAACTGAAACGTGCACATAGGCATCAAAATCCAGTCATCATCAGTTACCGGTACCCCAGGGAAAAATGGTTACAAAGTTCCGATCGAAATTATTCTTGATGCTAATCATTATTGTATTATCCAAGAACACTTATGAAACTTATTATTTTTAGGTAAACTTTTGAGCACTACTGAGAACATTTCGTTCCTGTAATTATGAAACTTTCCAGTTTGAACTGAATTCATGCACACATTAGACGATCATTTTGAATGTCACGCAAAATGAATGTTAACCCACCAAGGTCTTCATATTTGCACTTAGGCAATATTGAAATAAAATTGCAATAATACTTTTCAAACTGAACCAAGGCGTGCTAAGTCCGGTTTGGTGGTATAAATGAGGAACAGTTTCTCACCGGAAACCTGCTGGTTTCCCAACTCGTCATCTGTGTCCGAGTCGGTACCAATTTCTTCGCAGTAGTCGGAGTCACTACCAAGAGAGGAGAGAAAACAAATTGAAATGAAATGCAAGTGGCATATCTGTCACTTCGTATTTCTGCATGGTAACAAATGGGGGCACTGCAACAATGGAAAGAATGATTTATGAATTTAAAAATCGTCTATACGTCACGTGAAAAAATAAGCAAAATGCAGTAGTTTTTAAACTTTATTTTGCAATTTATTATTTATTTTCTGGAAATGAACCCAAGGATTCCTCAAAAGCGCCCTAGGCACCTTAGAGCCGGGAGGAAAATCCTAAAAGAAGATTCTCGTGAAAACCCACAGCATCAGGTAGGGACTGAAAACCCAATCCACATGTGGCAACGGCAGGAATCGAACCCGGGTCACAGCGGTGGAAGGCGAGGAAAGAACCGCTGCGCCAACCCGACTTCCTCAAGCAGTATTAGTAAGTAGTTTGCATTAGCTTTTTATTTCTCAAATTTCAGTTAAATGAATTCGAATGTTTGAAGGCTATGTTTAACGTTCTTCTCACTGATAATTGAGAGATACTGGATGTAGGATCTAGGACGGAGTACATTTTCCACCCTTCTACTCTCCCTCCCCAAAGTGAATTGTTCTATAAGACTGGACACGCGTGTATACCAATAGTCAAACCCATATGGGCATGTTCCTGTCGACTGTCAAATGTACTTATAACATCATCAGTTTGTATCACATACATGCTCCATCATATTTACCAGCAACAAAGACTTGCTATATTTTAGCCGGAAGGCGATAAAACAGGGTTGAGTTGTTGCATTTCGGAAATTAAATAAAGTCTTGCAATTTTGTCATTGACGACCGAACAAGTGTCATGCTGCATTACATGACATTGCTAGCGCGTATGTGCATTTTGTACTAAGCCGCTATGCAAGTTTGGCTAATTACCTTGAGGTCAATCCCATTATCGAATAACATGCACATATAACTTAAGGATTGACATTCTGCTGGAAATTTGCGTCAGGTGGATGCAATTAATGTTCATGCATATTTAGCCCTTCGCCGACTTAATGTTGCGCATTCCAATTTTTCTCGGATATGCAGGACTCAACCCACTATTTCCAGCTTAGGCCTACAGTTCATGTCTTAACATTCTCCCACTGGAATAACGAACCCGTTATTTCAGATTTAAATTGACTGGTACCTGTACTGACTACACGACAAGCTCAGTGATGCAGTGTTTCAGACGTCTCTAGTAAGCACGAGGTCATGGGGTCCCGTCTCCCCAAGCAAAACGCGGACGTGACGAGAAGTCCCGAACATACAGGGGATTATTAGGCCTACAGTTATGAATGGTACAACCTTGCAATGGGATGGACCCTTTGCACGGTACGCCATGACAATGGGCAGGCTTCTTTTTTAAATTTGAATTAAGTAACAATGAAAGCACAAAGTACCTAAACAAGTGTACCACACGGGAACAAAGACATGCCCGCTTTCATGGTGCATCATGCAAAGGGTCTAAACCTTTTTAGATATTCCCGAGGACAAACGGGGCATGCTGTTCTGTTCTGTGTTCACATGCTGTTCAAACTTTCGAGATATCCAGCAGATTCAAAACGTTTTTAGTGCTATATACATCTGTCTGCTGACTATGCCTTGCGAATGTATGCCGTGGTTACAATCGTGATACTGCATAGGATTTCTTCATTTCTTTCCCCTTTTCAGGGAAAGCTTTGCAAACGTGTTGAGCGGAGTAATGTGCATTGTGATCATTGGCTTGCACGAGCATAAATCCCGGGGGACAGGGAGGTCCTCCCAAACACAGCGTGCACGCACATAGGTTTTAAAGGGATGGGCCATTCGATCACCCCCACCCCACCCCGAACAGATTTTTATGCTGAGCGAGAAATAACATCAACGTAGTCGTGGATTAAAAATTTCAGACAAAAAGGAGCAAGTTCAGGAAGCTCATATCTTGAGTTCGGTTAAAAGTTGGCAGTGCAAACCATCATTATTAGACATAAAACGCGTTACATAAATTATGTAGAAATACAATTTTCGATAATGAAAATTGCCACCAAGTGTCAAACGGTGTATACCTACAATATAGACGTCAGGGCGTCGGGGAATTGTCAGGTCTGGGATCCAGACTTGCGTCATCCCCATGCCCAGTCATCGACATGGATTCACACATTTGCTGGCTTGCTAGGTAGAACGCACATTAATTTTCATACATTTCCCAAATGTTATCTGCTGCAGAAGTAGTTTGGAAAGCCCCTATCATTTGAAGTCTGATACGCTGTCGTTATTTTTGACGATTTATGTTTTTTACGTCGAAAGCTAAACTATTGCTATGATAATGTGAAGAGGCAGCGGAATGTATGACTATCTCACAACCAGTGAGGTGACCGTACATTTCAAGTGACCCGTATTTACGTATTTGACCAGCCAATAGACCATGTGCCATGTGACGTCATACAGACAGGCAACCGCCGGCAACCCAAACATATAAACATCTTTTTATTTGACCCATAAAACAATACATATCAATGCTTTATACCACTCATAATTCAAGAGATATGCAGTGCAGAAGTGAACCGCCGAAGTTGGCATCACGTTTTTTTACCACAACATCCAATTTGTGTACAAATGTCACATCGCACAACATTTTACGAAAGACCATTTGAAACGAACGTAATCAATCCAATCAAAGTTCGATTCACAGTGTTTTTCGTCCTTTAAAGGCGCACTGAATGGATGCAGTATTGTGAAAAAGTTAGAAAATGTAGCCACTGCATGGCAAGTGTGACCACTGTGACCGGAAGGTGGATGAGTGGCTGAAGTGCAACAACTAGGATCGCAAGAGCATAGATTCTGTATAAATCGATACCTAACTGGGTTCTGTGACGTGACTGAGTAGGCCTACATCAGAACAGCTATATCCCTTATCTTTACTCACTTGCTTAAGGTAAGGTTATCTGCTACATAGAGACTCAATGACTGGTACTTTCATAACGTCTGGATTGGCAAACAGTGACGTCACACTCCTCGAAAAGCACTTACCGCTTGTATTCAACTCTTGTGAAAGTTCTACGTCTTCGGATGATGCCGCAAGCCAGACAGGCGAAACCTAGGACGACCCAGGTTGCGATGACGATTGCGAGTAAGGCAACCACGTACGCTGAAAAGAGTGAATAAAACCGGTCAAATGGTGAAATACGGTCAGAATTGAGCAAGATCTACGTGCAATAACATTTTGTCCAAAGTTAAAGAGGATGAGATTTCTTACTAATGTATAAAATAAGACTATGTTTCATAAGACACTTTTTCATGTAGGGGACCGTCCCTGAGCAAGGGCGACCTCATGCGTTCTTTTTCAACTGTTATATGCATATGCAAAAGACGTAGCTCATTTGTATAAACCATCATCATGTTGCAGCCATTTGATTTTTTTCCCATTCAAATTAATGTAACCAAAGCGAGGTTGGAGGGGAAAATAGTCTGGTTCCTTTTTGCACAAAACATTATCATTCAGTACTGTCATTGGATACAGGGAACATGACTAAAATGGTGGAAGCATGATATAGGTCTATTGTATCTGGTGAGTGAGTATCTATTGATGGTATGATTTATGAAAGTCTTTCACGTGTTTCTGAAATTCCGATATACAATGTCTGTATTGTCTGTACAGTCGTAAGTGTATTTCCTTACCGAACTGTTGTATTTCTCTGTGCTATTTCAGGCAGTCGGGGTTTTATTTGATACAGGACCTTTCTCATGCACTGAGACATGGTTTCTTCAAGGATTTTCTACTTGTGCTCCTTGCCTTAATTTAGAGTTAAATTCAAGCAATTTGGAATACAGAATTGTTATCATAATCCTGCAATCCAGTGTGTGTATTGTTCATTTTGCCCACCCGTCAATATCGAGGGCTCGTCCTTTTTCAAAGAACTTTTCATTATATAAAATCCTACATTCTGCTTTACCTTGTGAACCGAAGTGAATAGACAGTATTTCACGTTCCTCAATGGTCTTCGTAATGTACATTATACTGAACACATTTCGTAAAGGAGAATGATCAGAACACTTTCATATGCACATGCGAAGATTTCCTTTTTTATATATCAGAAACTTTCAGTCAAAGATTCATGCTCAGCCCAACGTGCCGTGCTCTTCAGTCATCTTTAAGGCCGAGGAACTGTTAGATACACAGTTTCTACAAACGTTCGACTAAAATCTGACTTGCGTTGTTGTCAGGACTCACGATAATTTTGAAATGCAAACACGTGGATAGATCATGTAGATAGTTGATTACTCACCCGGGCAGGGACATGAACCATTGGTACTATCACACACACAGCCGACACGCACAGCTAGACGACATATCCCTCCACATGTTACTGGTGGATTCCCGCCTAATTGATCGTTGACGTCACCCTCGTCCTTGTGTGGACACTCGCCCGTCACGTGATGGCAAGTACCTCCAGCAGGGCATGGTGGGCAGTTGAAGTTACAGTCATGGCCGTATTTACCAGGAGCGCATGGCTGACGGCAGTAACCTCCTTCATAGCCACTAGGGCAGATACACTCCCGTGCAACAGGATGACAGGTATGACCACGATCACAAGCATGTCGATTTGTACATGGTGTAGCAAAACTACGCGGCGTGGTTCGCTTCCAATCTAGATAATACACATTATAAAAACTGGATGAGCAAAAAGTAAAACAAAACAAACAATAATAAAACAACAAATAAACAGCAACCGGAACCAATTCCCCTAAACTATATTATTACCATTTCGTGGGAGACGTGTTTCAAAGACAAAAACGGCGTGCACTCCAGGCTTAAGTTCTGAAGACACGTGAGCATGTAATAATCCTGAATGCCTGATATCAGGCTCCACATCTTATGGAATATAAAGCCACGTTTGTACACTGTAAGTTGAGAAACGTCTAATATCCGTAATTTCACGTTCCCAGTTGCATTTCAATAGCCGTTATCATCCAAGCACACTTTCGTTGGTTCGGTGCAGCCTGATTCTCTTGGTCTCGTTTCATTTCATCGGCTGGGGTAGACGACATAGACCTTTATTTTTCGTTTTAACAGTACAATCTACTATACAGCCTTTGGTTTTGTTTCCTAAGCTGCCAGGCAAAACCACGATGTCTGATCGAAACTTTAGCTGGTACGCATTACCCCATCCAACGGGGCGCTTTCTTCAAAAAGATCAAACAAATCGTCACCGTCACCACGAAGTGTCACTAACATTGAAAAACCGATAGTTTGCGATTTCGATTTTTGATTAATTACACATAATCTATCAGCTCAAGAAGTTACTAATCGCAGAGTTAATTAGTTTTGCCAAAATATTAAATATTATTAATTAACGTTTGTAACTTAATGGGTCAAAACAGGAAAATGCGTTTTTACGAAGTGTACTATACCATGCTTTCACGTGTACACTGCCTGCACACTATACGCGTCAAAAACGAGTTTTGCGTTTTCACGAAGTAACACATAATTATGTCACGTGATATGCGCGACTCACTTCTGGCGTTTTCATGAAGTAACGCTAAGGCCATACACACGTACGGGTAGCGTCACTTCGTGAAAACTCGAACAGAGCATTATCTGATTTTTGAGTTTTCACGAAGTGTACTTATGATTAATTAGTTTGATAACTCATTAACAGTTATTTGTTCAATACAAATCATACATTAACGTGTCATTCAAGATTCCAGCTTTCAGAAAATGCAACAAAATATGAATTTTGAGGCTAAAACGATATTCAGATCACCGTTTCATAACATCGTTAACTTAAATCGCTTGTATCTCGAAACATACATTTTCCACTTTGCGGGGTTAAGGTCACTTCGTGGTGACGGTGACGAAAATGTCGGGAATGGAAAGCACTGTGGGTATAATGTTTGACGTTAATTCACAGCCCACCGGTCGTGCACACAGTGTTTAACCAGGTCACTTGCTATGCGACATGGGATATCAGAGACATTAGACGTCACTATAGCGCCCTATAGGGAGGAGCGTATGGGGACGAGCGAAGTCGACAGGACGTTCAGTTAGTTGGGCGGGAAGAAGGGGGTATCGTGCACCCTCGGAAATCAACTTCTCTAGATTAGAAAAAATGCGTAGAAAACGATTTGTTTAAAAAAAAAAGTCCCACGCATTGTTTTTATGCAAATTAGTGCCGTCATTACCGAAAAATCTATTTCCCACTATATCTTAGCCATTATTGCAGATAACTGAACGAATTAGGTGTCTAAACCCATGTTTTCAAGGTCAGAGATCACAATAAAACTATTCTGGAAGTGACCACATGTGTCTGTGGCATAGGAATATGCAAATTAGTGCCGCTAATACCGGAAAATCATGTTTTTGACAAATCTCGGCCAATATAGCACATAACTACACAAGTAAGGTGTCTAAACCCATGTTTTGAGGGTCAAGTATCATTAGAAGACCATTCACGAAGAAACTATGTGTGTCCTTGGCAGGTAAATATGTAAATTCTAAAGTGACGATTTATTAGAAATTTGCATAAAAACAATACGTGGGACATTTTTGAATTATTTAATATAGCAAATCGTTTCCTACGCATTTTTCTGACCTAGAGACGTTGATTAGAAATTGATTTCCGAGGGTGCACGATATCCCCCTTTTCCAACTAAACTAATGCCAAATATAAACGCTCAAGCGTTTAAATCGTTTATACAAAGAAAGTCCGACTAATCAAATTAAACACATACCTTCAATGCATGTAACCTGTGGTTCACCAATATAGCAAGATTGCCAGGTCGGCGACCCATCAATCGTGTTTTCTATGCACCAGGCCGAGTCCCTAAGACCGCCAGGATTGCGACAGTAATTATGACCTACTAGATCTGACCATACAGCATCCGAGATGGCCTCAACGTTGAGGGCGCTCAATGAATCTCTGTTCCAATTGGAGCATTTGCCTCCAGTTGCAGTGATGTTCACGTGACCCATGTAGTCGCTGCCGTCAGTGTTAATGAAGCATTCCCCGTCTGCCAGGTATAAAATTCATTTGTATAAATGTTTTCATCGTACAAATCAAGGACAACTAACATTAGTAAACTAACGGCAAATAAAGATAATAATTTCTCATTAGTCACATTTATTTTGTCATAATAATTAAGGGACTGCAGCGTTTCAAATTACCTTCTGAAAAATGCTATCGAGTATAAATATCTTGTGATAGTAATATCAAAAGTCATTTTGATGGATTTTATAAAAATGGGCAGCCTGGGGGGGGGGGGGGGGAGACAGATGCAACCTCCTCCACGCTGCTAATGGGGACTTAAGATATCCATCATTGCCTCATATCAGTTCATTGAGTTTTCATGTGCCCTTCTGTGCTTACTTTCTTGTATTTCGCAAACGTAAGAGAAGTTTCGACTGCAGTCCGTATTGCTCCAGCGTGCATGAGTGTCAATCTCCGCACAGTTTCTAAGACCATTCAGGTTATTTGGTTCCCCTGACTTCCATGCACCATTCATCAGCGTCGAGCCATCTACCCACTTCCAGACACCAGAGGGCGCTTCATGATACAAGCCTGAAAATGATAGACACTGTCTTGTGAGCTTGTTGGTGACTTCTGGTTTCTCGGGCGACGCTAGACCAAATTGCATTGGTGAAATCTAAACTACACGAAGTTATTTCAATTTGCTTGACATATTCACGTGATATGTTTAATTGTAATCATAATAATAATTGATCGGAACTTCTATTGTGCTACCTCTCTCCGTGACCAGCCTGTTCGAGGGCGCATCACATCAAAATTCGTAATGAAAAATGATGCATACAAGTTCGCATTAAGGTACAGAGGAACACAAACAATATGTTAAACAGATGAGGTTACAAAAATATCAACGAATGCTCAAAGGGAACCTTTTGAGTTTAGTTTCAAGCATGCGTAGTAAGGTGAAACTCTATCTTAGTTGTAATGCGCATTGAAATGTTAATGTAATGCTCTCTATAAGTGTTAACTAGCCTGCTGAAGAAATTTTTTCCACCCGGCCGCTGCAAAATGTCGTTAAAAGCACGCCACACATCACCGAATTGTTTCCTAAAAAGGAAAATTTTCAGTTATGTTTCACTCTTGCGTATTAAGGTACTGCCCAGAAAAAGAAAACTTTGCCAACCGGCCTCCGCAAAATAAATAAATGTGGGAATTGGGCACTATTTCACTTATGGAGGCGGTGTTCAAATGAAAAGCGGACAATATTTGACACTATCAGACAATATCACTATTCGTTGGGACATACATGTATTTACTGATGCAACCTCGTCCACAGGGGTTTATTTTCAACCTCGTTTCCAATAGTAACCCTTTCTTAACTTCGCTCGTATATCCCCCGAGCGCTAGGAAGAGCGCTAGGAAGGGCTGATGAGCTTCACAGAATCTTGTGAAGGAAGTGGGGATGGCATTCTGGGTACCTTATCATGACCTGTGTATAAAGGCGCCTGGCTGCAGCTGTTCAAGACCGAAGTTAGCCAATGCGCGCAAATGCTATCCGAAAACTTGCTCATAGAAATGCACACATTCCATACCGGATGTGATTTCTTTTTCAATGCGGACCATGTGGACAATTTTTGAGCGTCGCATAATATGCAATTTGACCCTTCGTGAATTCGAAACGGAGCCTTAGCAAGTGACGGAAATTGCACATTGACAAAACAGATTTTCCTACATTATTACGCTTTTCACCCCCCCCCCCAAAAAAAACCATTTATGAATGGGAATATTAAAAAGTGATGACTCAGTCTTAACGGCCATGACCTTGCAAGGTCGTGGCCGTGATGACTTGCAGGGCACAGGTCACGCAAAATCTATCCAATCAGAGCGCAAATTCATCAGCCCTTCCCAGCGTCCTGTTTGCGGGGCGGGGGGCGGGGGGTACGAGCAAACTTGGTGGGAAAGTTACTTCCTGTATCCTGATTCGATACAGCAATAGCAAATAATGGATTTATATCGTGTACTTGGTGTTGTTATGTCTAACGTGCATTACGTATTTTAACGTTCAATGTGAATTATTATACAGCCCACTCCACCTCAAAACAACTCCCCCTTTTCCCATTTTGCTCTCTGTATTATGTTACGGAATAAAGCATATTGGCTGGATAACATTTAAACTTAAAAAAAACAATCGCGTTTTCGGATCTAACGCCGCGACGAAGTGAACATGCAAATGATCCAATACCAGGGTCATCAGAGAGCAGGTAGTGGTGGGCGCATACTGCTCCCACCGTGGGAACGAGGGTACTATACCGACGGACACACGATTTCGCTGACATGATGATTTTGCCGACAATATGAACAAAAAGGCAGAGGTAGATACACACCCTACACCACCTCTACAGCGCGCGACGCCCGTTTCTGGCTTAGGCAATACATTTTTTTTTCATATATTGTATTTAGGCCTAGAGGGAACGTCTTTTAACTTAAAATTGGGGATCACAAAATGCTCCGATTGGCCAAAGTATACAAATATGAAACCACGAGCCCAGCATTTTGACTAAAACATGTTAGGGTTTGCATAAGGCAGTTTTATTTTAACGTCCATACCTATCCACAGATCTGTTACTCTGGGTCGAACCCTTTCCAGGAGTAACTGACTTTCCTTGCCTGGTTCCTTGTCGGTTATGGCCAGATCTCCCCCCGGTGCTTTCCGGCAGTCAGCCCGCGCTATGTTCCACGGTGTGGGCTGATTGGTCACATATCGGTAGCAGTGTCCATTGGTGTCAAGAACGAAACCTCGTGGACAGTGAGCTGAAGAAAAAACACAACATAAAAACACACGTGTTTCCAATAGCTAAATTATCGATCGCACGTGATTCGTGCAGGCCTCCGCCAGGTCGACGTTATACGTACGACGACACATATCGGTCGGCGACTGACTGTTCAGGATCAAGCTGCGTCTGAGATACGATCGTTGGGAACATTGCAGTCGCCGAGTTTTGCGAGCCGAGTACGACTGCGACGTTTTTAAGACGATGACAAATCTAACACAATGCGTCCGCCTGTTACATTCCAGTATTAAGGGAAACAGTTCTTGAAATCTAAGACCGTATTTCACATGCGCCAAAGGTCTCGAGTATCTTCGAGGAAGTTGCAATCTTAGTTTGACAATATGCAGATTGATGTTATTATTTATGTTTTATACTGAACTGAACATTTCAACTCGGAGGCAGCAAAGCTTTCCCGTCGCGTTAGGGCTGGGATCTTCCACACTCTTTGGGCTCAGGGCCCCGACAGCTTGAATCATGCAACAAAAAAGAAAATGAAACTGCATCTATTCGTACGGGAATCATCTAACGTAACATGACCCAACAATTCTTGGCTGCACTTGTATGGGTCCTTACCGGACTTGATCAATTGGTGTAAGTAAGCACTCGGAAGTTTGGAGGAGGTAATTGAGGGCCGTCCTTATTTCCTTCATGTCCCACCCCCCTGCAAACCTATTCAGAGGAAGTGGGTGGCACGGTTCATGTATACAGCGGAACCTAGTAAGGAAGTATTAGTATGGGCTTGATGTGCAACTTTGCCTGAGGGGAATGATACAATCAGTGGCGTAAATCCGTGCCGGCGAGTGGGGGGGGGGGATTACCAAAATCCTAAAATTGTTCGGACAGGGAAATTCGCACTAGCGCTGTTTTTGTTACAAATGTGGGCCTATATACAAACGGGCGCGCTTACAATACATCAAGACGGTGCAGTTCGTTCTCCGTCTTTCAGCTATTAAATACATTTGGGCTGTTAGAAAGTTGGAAAATAACCTATAAAATCGTCATTTTTGGTTTCTTACCACTACAAAAATGGAAGGGGTGATCCATCTTCCCCCTAGTCAAAAAGTGGGGGGGGGGGGGGGGGGGTGAGGGACGCAAGGATATTTACGCCCATTGGATACAAGGGCCCTAGAGGATGACATGACATGTACCGATCCAAACATGTATTCGTTATAAGTTAGGTCAGTTATGTGTGGAGTGAGCCAACTATAATTCATGTTTTCTTCATGTCCAACGTTCAAACATATACGATTACAAAGGTTTCTCACAAAAGACACAGACAACACAATGTGGGTAGCAGAGAATGAGCAAATTCGAACAAGGGGCTGTAGAATTTTGACAAACATGAATCTGTCACGCATCCTGCCATCTTCAATCAGTAGTGACTGAATTGGTGTTGGAATAATTGTATTAAGTGGATTGATTTTCACTTGTTATTTTTGAATGTTTTCATTATTAGAATTTGGACAACCTTTTTTATTGATGAGGAACTTATTGAACGTACCGAAGACGCAAATATACGTTTCGGTGATAATGCGAGAATTAAAGTATCTACCGATAAAACATCACTTAAAATTTAGGTGAAACAGTTCGAAGCCACCAAATACTTAAACTGTTCCCCTAGCAAAGCCACAACTATTAACCGAGATCCATGTATTATCTCTCCCACCCAGTTCTTGTACTCACATCGAGTTTCACACATGAATGCAGAAGTTTTGGAACAGTCCACTAAC